TTTTGATCCTTCTGCCTCCCTCTTCTAAGTGCTGGGATTATAGGCATGAGATATAATGCCATTTTTAAATTTTTAAATTTTTAAATTTTTTTTTTTTGAGACAGACTCTCCCTGTAGTCCCAGCTGGCCTGGAACTCGCTATGTAGACCAGGTTGGCCTTCAACTCACAGAGCTCCTCTGCCTGCCTCTGCCTGGGATTAAAGGCGTATGCCACCACGCCCAGCTGGCACAATGCCTTTTTTTTTTTTTGTCTTTTTGAGATAGGGTCTCCCTGTAGCCCCAGCTGTCCTGGAACTCACTATGTAGACCAGGCTGGCCTCGAACTCACAGAGATCTGCCTGCCTCTGACTCCCAAGTGTTGGGACTACAGGTGTGTTGCCACCACACCTGGGTTTTCCTTTTCTTTTTTTAAAGTCAGGTTTTGTGAGGTAGCTCAGGCTAGCTTCAAATGCTTGATCTCCCACCTTGGCATCCTGAATAGTTAGGATTACAGCCTGTACATCAAACCTTATTAATCCCTGCTTTTTAAAAAAAATCCTTTTTCTTAAATTTATTTTATGTGTATCTGCATGTATATTAATTGTACCATGTGTGTGCAATGCCTGAGGAGGCCAAAAGAGGGTGTTGGATCCCCTAGAACTGAAGTTACAGACTGTTACTACTAGCTGCCATGTAGGTGCTGGGAACCAAACCCAGGTCCTTTGCAAGAGTAGCCAGTACGCTTAACCCCTGAGCCATCTCTCCAGCCTCCGAAACTAGATTTTATATTTTATTTGTATTTTATGTGTATGAGTGTTTCGCCTAGTAAGTGTTTTGTATAGTAAGTACACTATGTGCATGCAGTGCCTGAGGAGGCCAGAAGAGAGCATAAGATCACTTGGAACTGGAGTTAATGGACAAAAATTTGTTAGCTGACATTGAGCCCTTTCTCCAGCCCCATCACCCCTTTTCTTAACCCTAAACTTTTCTCTTGTCTTTTCTTTTTCCTTTTTTTTTTTTTTTTTTTTTTTTTTTTTTTTTTTGGAACAGGGCTCCCCTT